TCCAAGAACCAGAAATACAGGAGTGACCAAGAGAGACGGTGCCGTTGGCCTCTAGCCGTAACATCACATGGGGAGACTGGTGATAGCCAAAAAAACACGACTTTAACCTGATTTCAGGTAGCGGTAGCTTCTGATTTTCTTAAATTTTTAATTTCAGAGAGAAAGGGAGAGGGAGAGAGAAACATCAATGATGAGAGAGTCATGGATCAGCTGCCTCCTGCACGTCCCCTGCTGGGGATCAAGCCCCAAACCTGGGCATGTGCCCTGACCGGGAATCGAACCTCGATCTCCTGGTTCCTAGGTCGATGCTCAACCACTGAGCCACACCAGCCGGGCAGCTTCTGATCCTTTTATGATGATCTGTGGCTTTGCTCAGATCTCTGCCTTTGAGAAAGCCGTTAATTTCCACCGGCGTGGGACGGCGTGTGGTCTCCCGAATCACCGCCTTCTTGGTTAAAATACTCTGACAGCTCTGCTCAGGCCATCACACTCCGTCAGAATCACGGGGTTTGTGAGGTGGAGGCTGAACTTCAGAATAGACGGTGACTCCCCCAAGCTCACACACACGGGGGTCGGCGGGGAACCGACCCAGGAAGCCCAGGCTGTGACTCCCGGTCTCTGTAGAGATCGGCGCCTCGTGTCGCAAAGGGCCCGGCGGCCGATTCCCATCCTTTCAAACAACTGCTGGATGGTCGAGCGGCCGCCTCAGCAGCAGAAGCTTGGGGACGGCTTCCAGGGCCCAGAACCCCAGCCACAGACCCCGGGAGGCGACAGAGCCCCCCCACCGGGCCCGGTGCTCCCTGCTCAGGCTCCCGGATCCCCCCCACATCATGCAATTTACCGAGCAGAGACGAGACACGAAGTGCCCGAGGGGGCCTGCATTTTTCAAAGGGGAAAAAAAGGCTTAATTATATCTTCAAGAGGCACAGACACGCCGAGGAATACCAGCGGTGTCTGAGACCCGGAGCAGAAATGCCAAGGATGGGGCTTTGCAAGATTAACACAGCTGAACCCAGCACCGAGGCCTTTTTTTTTTTTTCCTGGGGCCCTGGGAAGCTGGGGAGGTAAACGCCCAGCAGGTCGCTGGGACTAGGCCAGCGTGACCGACTTGTCCCCTTCTGTCCTGCATGTTGCTGCTGGAATGGTCATTCTGGAAAAAACTGCCCTCGCTCAGAGGCTTCAGGGGCTCCCCGGTCCTTCGGGACAAAGTTGCATCCTCCTTCCGCGAGTGGGGGCCTCGGGGACTGTGCCCCTCCTTCCCTCTCTCCTTCCCTCTCCCTCTGCCTTCGTCCCGCTGGGCAGTCATGACGGGGCCCTAGCCGGGCGTCTCGGTGGTTAGAGCGTCGGCCTGCGGGCGGGAGGGTCCTGGGTTTGATCCCGGCCGAGGGCGGGTGCCTTGGTTGCAGGCTCCATCCCGGGCCCTGGTCGGGGCGTGTGCGGGAGGGAGGCGACCAGTCGATGTCTCTCTCTCCCTCTTCCACTTTCTGATAAGCAATGGGAAAAATAACCTCAGGTGAGGGTTACAGATAATAATAAAAACGATCAGAGTTCCTGCTGTGTCCTGCCCAGGCCCTGGGCTGGGGATGGGGACAGGTGGGTGAGTGGTGCCGACGCGGCCCTGATGTGGGAGCCGATGAAGGTTTCCTGCAAGGGGCAGGCGTGGTTACGGCCGAGGGAGGCCAGGTACCAGGCTACGCGAGGTGGGGCCGGGGAGGCTTCACAGAACCGGACAGAAGCCGTCCAGCTGGTCCCCAGTGCCTGGCGCATGGCGGGTCCCGACTTCCCGTCTATGGCATCGAGCGGGTGGAGGGAACTGGGCCCCCCAGGGGAGGATGCCGAATGCCTGTGACACCCAGGTGGGCAGCATGCGCTCCTATCTCTGCCCTGTTGCCCGCGCTGGGAAGGTTGGCGGAGGCTCTGCCCCGGTACTGGTCTAGGGGCGAGGGCCGGGGGGCCGGGGAGCGGCCAGGAGGCTGCGGACCCAGGTTCCTGGCTCTGGGAGGGGCGAGGCCCCCTGAGCAGCCCTTGCCCGCCTCCTAGCCTCATCTGCCCGTCTCCCCGGGGTTGACACTGTTCCCAGCACTGGCCAGAACCCTCATACTTCGGGGGTTTGCACAGGTCCTTCCCGCTTCCCGGGCTTTGACTTAGCCTCCAAACTCCCGTCTAAGGTCGGTTCCTCTAGAATGTTCCCTAAGCCCCCCTCTACGGGGTGGGTGCCTGCACGGGCGTGGGGAAGCTGAAGAAAGAAGTGCGGTCGGGGGAGGGCCTGGGCTCCGTCGGGGCGCGGCCGGGACGTGGTCTCCTGGGCTTCTGACTTTGAAGGTTGCTGTTTTGAGTCCGTTTCCCAGAAGAGGAAAGAGACTCAGAAAGGCTGAGGAACTCCGGGGTCCCGCTGTCCCCCTTCCCAGCGGGCTCGCTGCACTCGCACGTCCTCCCCTCTGTCCCCAGGCTGAACCCAGCTCCCTCGTCACCTTCCCTCCACCCTCAGCCCAGGGCCTGGCTCACGGAGACATGCCCAGAAACGCCTGTGGGTTTGAACTGCTGATGCCGTGGCAGCTCCCGCAGGCAGCAAGGAATGTTCATTTAAATGCGGGTGTGTGGTAACTATTTTCTATTGTGATATTTTAGATATAAATGTATAATGTATAATTTTATATAAAGGGCATATTAGTATAAATTTATATAAACATTTATATAAACATATATACATAGGAATGTTTATATAAATTTAAAATATTATATATTAAAAATACATTTATATTATATAGTTATAATATATATCTTATAGTTATAATTACTACGTATTTACATATGCTAGATTAATTACATGATGTATTAAACATAATAACATATAGAAATAAGCATCTATCTGATTGTAACTTGCAGGCGTGTTCCCTACACCTCCATCGCTCCTCTGCCCTGACGTAGTTCTCACGCTCGCCCAGCCTGTGGCCTCTTCAAGTCCCCTCGGCCCCTCTGGGCACTGGAGTCATAGTCACAGCCCTTTCTGCCCTGAGGCTGGTGGGCGCCATTCTTGGCCTCAGACCTGGGGAGAGGAGGTAGTGCTGGTGGGGACACGGGGAGGGGGGGCTGGGGAGCATGAGGCTGCCCCACAAGAGGCCACTGGGGCACCCACACCGACCCTGGCCCAGACTGTGCCCAGGGAGGGGCCCGGTCAGCAGGGGCCACTGGCAAACCAAGGGTGGTGACAAGCCCACGTCTCAGGCAGGAGCTGAAGATGCTCCTGGGGGTTCACAGAGGACAGAGCGGGAGTGTCATCGCGGGGTCAGGCGGGGAGAGGGTGCTGACAGCCCACCACAGCCTGCATATCTCTCCATCAGCCAAAGCCCTTGTTTGCTTAGAGTAGCCTGGAATTCCACCGGGCTGCTGGGCATTTCACTTTCGAAACCTAAGCCCAGGGAGTGAAAGGGGGGGCGCACCCAGATTCCCCTCCGAGCATGAACTTGGTGTTCCCTCTGGGAACCAGCTGCTCTTGCTGCGGCCTTCGCAGCCCTGCAGCCTCCCCTCGGCTTTGCTGCGTGCCCGGCGGGTGCCAGGGGCCTGGTGATGCCACCATGAGCACACGTCCTAAGTCTGCAGTGGGGCTGTGTGGGGAAACCAGCCCGGAGTGGCAACCCGGCAGCGCTAACCGTCGGGGCTGAGCCGCAGTTCCGAGCTTGCTCTTGAGGAGCGTCACCAGGGTGTGGGGAGCTAGGGTGGAACATCGCTCAGCCTGCCTGCGGTGACTGCACGTTGGGGGCTTGACACCAGCCACAGAAACGGTCACATGCTCCCACCAGAGAGCAGGCTGTTGGGCGATTCCACACACCCTCAGTGACTTGGGGCAGGTCCCACTATTAGAGCAAAAGGGATGGAAAAGGGACCTTGGAGGCTGTTCGTGCCTCAATGTCAACAGCTGCTGGTGGCACCTGCTCTGCGCCTGGCCCTGGGGATCAGCCTGCAGGCCAGAGAGCCTCTCCTACCACCCCGGCCGCCCTCACCTCCATTCTCACCCCCGCTGGACAGTGTACAAATACCTTTCCGACCGTGACACTTACCAAGTCCTCCCTGGGCTTTGAGAGCAGGACCCTGGATTCTGTTTTCTGTGTCAGACCAGCGGCTGGTGCCCGTTGAGGGATGCGTGCATGCATGTGCAGGTCTGGTGGAGAGGTGCCCCCACACCGGGGGCTCACACCCTTGGCAGACGCTGCCAGGATGTCTGGATCACGCAGTCCACAAGCACAGGGTCACGTGGCATCACTTGCTCACTGAGGAGCCTGTGGCCCAGAAAGGGCACAGTCCATCGCCCCAGCCCCATCTGTCTCATTCCAGACTGCAGGAGAGTTCTCTTCATGGGCCTTTGGGTGCCTCATAGGCAAGGTGGAGCGAGCAGGGCCTGACCTGAAGACAAGCTGGCCAGGAAGGCACAGGTTTGGGGAGGTGTGGGGAGCAAGGGATTCAGGGGTACGTCCCATGGGGAATCGGGACTTCTGTGCTTGGATAAGAGGATTCCAGGGCCCCCTTGGAATCCTCACTATGACAGGGAAGAGACTCCCTCCTGCTTTGTTTCTTCCCAAGGGTCAGAACTGGGCACAGTGGCAGGAGGGAAGAGACGGGTATCTACTAGGCATCTTCCCCATGCCAGGCCCTTTCTAGGCTCTTAAATCCCCTGTCGGAGAGGTGGGAGAGAGCAGGGGCTGGCGTTGCCCCAGAACCGTCTGACTCCCAAGCCCGCCACACGGATTCCACACAGTTCAAGCTGTGCATGGCGATAGAAAGGCTGGTGTGAGCTCACTGCTACTCGTCCCTGGAGGTGGAAGTAGAGCCCAGGGCTGACTACTTGGAGATGCTGTGCAGGGGACTTGAGCATCTGGCACAGAGTGGGAGTTGAGGTCTGAGGCCCTTTCTAGTTCTGAACTTCCTCGAGAGAAAATCCTTTCCCACATCTGTGTTACCACAGCCCCTGCTAACTTCCAAAACACCTTCTGCTCTCTCCCCAGGTGTTGTGCGCCAAGTGCGGCCCATCGTGGGCCCATTTCACGCTGTCCTGAAGCTAGAGATGAACTACGTGGTCAGGGGCGTGGTGTCCCACCGAAATATCGTCAATGTCCACATCTTTGTCTCTGAGTACTGGTTCTGAGGGCTGGTCTGTGGCACAGCCAAGTCTGCATCTTCAGGCCAAGTCATTGCTGCCAACAACTGTGCCCCCTGTCCCTGTTTGTACCACCCAGACATTTCTTGATTTTATATATTTGTAGTGTTAGGCTGACATGTATTAAGCTGGGCCAGGTGAATAAGTCCATCTGATGTATTTTGGTGTTGCAATGAGTCCAATTACTCAACTTTTTAAATGCAAACACATTTTACTGCCTGTGGGCAAGGCATTGCTAAGGACCAAGGAAAGAAAGGACATTTTTCAGGGGGCAGTTACTCATAATGCCAAGAAAAGACCCATTTTTGCCCTGATTGTATGAAGTTTAACATCAGGTACTTTTTGCCAATCAGGTTGTGTTTGCCCAGTTCCAGGGACACAGCTGCCGTAGTCTAGCAGATATGATAAATCCTGCCCAGAAGCAGCATGACATAATGCCTCCAGGGATACTCAGAAGTAAATTGCTATTCTGTTGAAACAGGAAAACCCCGTTGTAAAGACACAGCCTGTCCAGTCTGTGTGGCCCCAGTATGTTCACCAGGGGAATGGCAGGGTTTTCTCTGCTCCCTGCATCCGTCTCCTCTTACCATAGGTGGAAAAATAAACAGCTTTGTGATTCTCCCTATGGCCTGTGTGTAGGAGTCCTTCAAAAAAGGGGGGTCCCCCCACCTGGACGGTGTTGCTCAGTGGTTGAGCTTTGACCTATGCACCAGGAGGTCCTGGTTCGATTCCCAGTCAGGGCACATGCCCGGGTTTTGGGCTCCATCCCCAGCAGGGGGCATGCAGGAGGCAGCTGATCAGTGTTGATGTCGCTGTTTCTGTCTCTTCCCCTTCCTCTCTGAAAAACTTTTAAGAAGAGAGGGGGCTCCCTGCTAGCAAAGCGCCTGGGGATGTCCCCCTAGGTCTTCTCAAAGATCCTCCTGCCCCCTCCAAGGTTTCTGGGCAGAGCCTGCTGTGTATCTTGGAAAAGCTTCCTGCCCACACCGTTTCTGCTCCCAGTGCCCACCCTCTGAGAAGTGAGGCTCAAGCACTCACCACACCCACGTCCAGCCCTGCTGGGCAAGTCAGAGCTCAAGCTGCTGGGCGCCCCCTCCAGAGGCTGCTGGGAGCAATACCACTGCGCTCCGGCAGGGAAGAGCACCCGTGGGCGCCGAGCCTGGGCACCTGGCAGGAGGTGCTTTGTTTCCCCTGGCAACCCAGGGAGGTGGGCGCGGTCATGCCCAAAGCGGAGATGGGCAAACCGGGTTCGGAGGAACTCAACTGCCCAAAGTCGCACGATTTTTTGAGAGACAGAGATGGAATCCAAATTCGTTTGATCAGAATCTAAACTCTTCCTCTCTGAACTGTCAGACGAGAGTTGGACAGACTGGATGGGTTTATTAACCCCCTTCAAGTTCCATGCTGCCATATTGTGTTCATACCACCCGCTTTTGGGGGGAGAAGAGGTAATAATGATAAACAGCTGCAATTTAGGTTTCCAAATGGTAAATGCATGCCTCGCTGGGCCCACCCCACCCCTGGATGTTGCCCTGTGCGGCCAGGCGGGGTTTAGAAATGAGAGAGGAATGTTTTCCTCTCCTCGTCCCTCGGCCTGTCATGACGCCTTGATGGTCGCTCTTCCCCGCCCAGGCTCGGTAATTGCTTAATTAATTGCTTGCAGGTAACTAGCCCAGAGAAGGTGGTTATTAGGTGCAGGGAGCCTGACGCCCACTCCCCGGGGCAGTCGCCAGGCCCAGGCCTGGAGGAGCCACCAGCGCCAGGTCTTCTGCGCTCAGTGTGACCGCAGGAACGGCCCCGCTGGAGAGCCCGCAGCCCTGGCTGCTGTCCCTGAGCTCTGCTGGGTCAAGCCTGAGGCCGCTCCTTGGAACCCAGGCCCTGCCGGGGTGGCCAAAGAGACGTTTCATTCCCTGAGGCTGGGGATCAGGGGGTTCCCTTGGGGCTTCGGCCATTCCCTAGTTGGGTTTCGGAGACATTTCGGGAAGGCCAGCCTCAACTTCCCTTCCCCTCCCCGCCGTGGTCCACACAGCTCTGCCTTCTCTCCGGGGTCTGAGGCACCCTCGCCCGGGCTGAGCCCCGGCCACAGTCAGGATGCCTGGGAGCTACTGCAGCCCCACCCAGAAGCCGGAGGTATGAACACATTAGGCAGGAGGGATGTGAAGGGGACAAGGTGGCCCTTGGTTCAGGGTGAAGGTCAGAGGTCAGAGGGCGGCGATCCTGGAGCTTGCCAACCCCAGACTGACTGCTGAGGGGCTTTACTTCCGAGAGGACAATAGGTTAAGTGCACAGAGGATCCTGGCTTAGCAAAATATGTGGGACCAAACTAGATGTTACTTTGGCTGCTGGGAAGCTCAAATCTAAATTTAATGTCCAATTGAATCATACCTGACATTTAACTTTTAATTTTACCTCCCACCTTGCTTCTGGTCTCCAAATTTTTAAGTCTATGCCGTTCTCAAGCATGTTTTTTTTAAGGGAAGTCATCTATCTTTATTTAAAATGAGGCATAAATTATAAATAATTTTACAAAAGATGAAGAGAGTATTATAACAGAAATCACCCACCACCATCGCCCAACGGTGGAGGCCGCCCAGGTGCCCACTGACGGATGATAAACGCTGTGGCCCCCCCGCGATGGATCTTTATTCCGCCTTAATCAGGAAGGAAGCCGGTGCCCGCTACTGCCCGGGGGAACCTGGAGGGCACCGGGCTCGGCGACATCGGCCAGTCGCAGGAGGAGAAATCCTGCGCGAGTCCACTTCTCTGTGGTACTTAGAAGAGTCGCAGTCACAGGGACAAAGTAGAGGGGTGGTCACGGGAGATGGGGGGTGGGGCATGAGTGTGTCATGGGGACAGGGTTTCCATTGGGAAGGTGAGAAAGTTTGGGAGATGGGGGGTGGTGAGTGTGCTTAATGCCGCTGAACTGTACTCTCAAGAATGGCCAACGCGGTAAATTTCTTACGTATATTTTACCACCATAAACACAGGTTAGTGAAAAAAGAAAATAGAAGGCACCTGGAAATGAGCACTGGACGCTGTGTTAGAGGACAGGCCCCAGGCCGCCCTCTGCTATGTTTCTTGGTAGAGGGACCGGTAGTCACTTCCCGGGTTTGATTTCCCGCCCCCCACCCCGTGCCCC